TAATAGTAACTACCTAATATAACTAACTTACTAACTATACTATACTATACTACGGGTACGTACTTAGTTATTTACGTATACTATATAATATGTGTGTGTGTGTGTGTGTGTGTATGTATGTATATGTATGTATGTATGTAGACATAATATATATATATATGTCTGTGTCTGTATCCCTCCACTTCACATTGCCACCCAGGTAGGTTTTGCTCACCTCTGGCATGTCCTATTTTTATCATTATAGGTGCGAAGTCTACTCGAATATGGAGCTGATCCCTCACTTCAAAATTCAGACGGGACTGTGCCTTCAGGTCTAACGAGACTTGAGGAAATAAAGAGGCTACTTCCATATTGTCACCCTGTTACAGGTACGCATGGTAAAGTACACCAAGAGAACACACGAATTACCTTCTCATTATAGTGCTGAAAGAACTATTCGCAGTATCTGGTAACCCCTATTATATCTCAAGTCGCATATATTGGACCCGCCAAGTTGTATGAATACCTTCTGTTAACTCACTTACAGCCGACAAATCACCTGCTAAAGCCGAAGAAAAGGCAAAGGAGGACCAGGCACCGTCCTTCATTCCGTCGTATCTGAAATATCCAAGCTTCCCCTATAGTGACGTATGTTGCGAAACTTTGTGCAGGCTATCTGAATGCCCTCAAGTGAGAAACGTGACCCAACGTTCGCTACTTATTCTTTCAACAGTCGCGTTTCAAATAATGAGGAATAAGCCACTTTTCGAAATCAATTCCGTAATACGTTTGCGCAACGGGTTGCTGAAATCGGGACTTATACGCCGCATGCCATTCGACTGCGGTGTCCCAGTCGATGTTCACATTCCCTGCGTTGTTCTGCACAGGCCACCAATGCGCCAGTGGAGTCCACCCCGCAAGTAGCGCAAGTACCTGCACCAACAACACAGACACCGGCCCAGGAAGTTCCATATTCGCAGACTCAGAGGAACACACAGACGCCAACACAAGCGCCACAAGCACGCCCAGAACCTAGGGCCGGGCCGAGTGTGCAACCAACTACACCACAACACACACACACGGGGGCCTCCAACGGCAGCAGTGGGGATGGGGGCAGACGTGGTGGGTACGAAGCCAGCGATGATGTGCACAAGAAGGCCATAATCCTGTCATACATCAATGACTTGTTACAGCAGGAACGCATATCGAGAGACGTGGCTTTCTATCTCGGTGAGTGTTCTGAGCGATTTGACTTTCTTATCCGTTTTATGAGATTATGAAAGTGTCGTGTTGTATCTACAATGTTGTGTAATTCATATTATATCATACACTCTCCCGCCAACGAGTCATCGTTTTGACTGTTAAGCGTGCGCTTATAACTCTGCCGTGTGCCGTAGTGTTTGTTTGCTATCGCTTTATTGAAAATAGGGTGTCTCTCACGGTTTCCATAGTAACACACCTGTGCTGGTGCTCTACCTCTGCACAACAGTGTCTTGAGAAGTAGGGCGTTCGTGATAAGTCCGCCCACTGTTTTATTGGAAATTTCATATCTGCCTTTCAACATTCGTGTTGACACATCACCATTCAATCAGTGCAGCAGTATGCCTGAAGTACAGTTGTGACTCAACTTATCCACCTTATCTCATGCACAGCCCATAGGCTGTTCAGCCAGGAGGATGACATTGGCCTGCATGTGATGTATGCTGCATTTGGTCAGAAGGGCTTACACGACGCCTTCGTTGCGTGGATTCCAATGACCTATCCAGCAATCGGGCACTCTGTGTCCCATTAGTACTACTTATCTAGGCAGTGGTATAGGCTCGTAGATTCCACTGAACGGATTTACAAAATGAAGTTGATGCCATGGGAGGGATGTCTTGAGGCGAGTACACAACAGCACGTGGTTGTTGAGTTGGTTCCCAAATGCTGCGGGAAACACGCATCGGCAGGCACATCTGAGAGGCGAAGGGCGGCCTTAGGTGGCGAGCGGTGTCGTACTATTCATTTCCCCTGTACGAACCTATTGGATGTGGCAGCCACGCTTGCCCCCACAGGTATCAGGACGCACTTTGATGGTATCTCATTGCATTGCAGGTACTGTTTGATCTGTGCTCGGCCAGCCTGCGTCGTGTGACTTCGCTTGTGGGAAGGGATTGCAGTCGTCGCATGTCTCCATTTCCCGTACTCGTTTCAGTTTGGGAACTGAGTGGGTAGATGTAGTTTACATGCTCTGCCTGCTGTGCAGAGACAGCTTGAGATCAGATCTTAGCAAGTAGGCAGACACTGGCCTCGTGAGGTTATTGAATAAATCGCACCAGCGGCTGCGTCTCTGCCAGCCCAGTAGAGAAGTGGTCAAAGGCACATAGCATCGTATTGGCCCGCACAAATAACCGTTTAATACAAACTTCATTTCTTCACAAATTGTTGATCTGAATGCTTCTTGATAGTTTGTAATAAACTACAGAAAATTAGGAATTGAATACCCAATGCACAAGAGAAGTTCACTGGGCGTGGCCTATGTGATACTTGTAGAACCGCAGGAATGTGGTCTCTTCTCGTACCTGAAACTTGGGAATACCAGGAATTGGCTTAGAGGTATATGATGCTGCAACCTGTAGCAAACACTGGCAGCTAGACATGTAGACTACTTCGACGGCATCGTGTGTCGAGAAGTATGTAGCGCTACGTGTTGTGAGCTGCCTGTGTGTGTATTGTACCAGGCTAGTTTGTGAAGCTTATACCTGTTTGAGAAGTGCTCGCGACACAGCCAACCACCACGGGGCGAAAACGAAGGTACGCACTATGTGCAGAAACAATTTCGGGCGTACGATTGGTAACAAATGTATATCACTAGCCTTCGAGTATAAAAAAAGTAATAGTATCATACTTGCCTACAGGGAAGTGACAGTATCACACTTGCCTATAAAATTTTGCGTGAGGCCATAGAACAAACGCATATCGTTGACCGCCAACACGCAGTGATGGACATGGCTGGTAGTTTAGTAAAAGAGTTCGGATATTGTACCATTTATGCCTAGTAAGTTCACACTCCGAGGGCGTCACAAGTATGTTCACAGATATAAAAGCACGCCCAATCAGAAGGGTCGGTTCGAATATAAGTGCCTCAACAAGGAGATAGCTGTCCGATGCGCAGTCAGGGCTTATCGTCTTGTACTCTCCTTTGAATTCTACGTATATAAAGCTTAAATCCATAACATGCCTATCCTAGCTTCACACTTCATTTAGACAAGGCTTCATCCATAACATGTTTATCCTAGCATCTCGCTACATATAGACAAGGCTTCATCCATAGCATGCCTATCCTAGCTTCTCACTATATATCGACAAGGCTTCATCCATAACATGCCTATCCTAGCTTCTCACTACATATAGACAAGGCTTCATCTATAACATGCTTATCCTAGCATCTCACTACAAATAGACAAGGCTTCATCCATAGCATGCCTATCCTAGCTTCTCACTACATATAGAAAAGGCTTCATCCATAACATGCCTATCCTAGCTTCTCACTACATATAGACAAGGCTTCATCCATAACATGCGTATCCTAGCTTCTCACGACATACCACCATCTTGCTGTGGTTTTCAACATAGGTGCTACTACCAAAACCACAGCAATGAAATGCCGACTGCGGTTTTCCTGTTGTTCTCGAGTAGACATGCTTGACAGTCCTAGCAATGAGCGTGCGCCAATACCACAACGTACCCAAGAACTTCTCGTAGAAGTAGGTAGCATTTTCTGTGTCGTATGGATGCAGCAAGACCAAGCGTATCTCTCAACTGGCAAGCCGACAATTAGGTGAACTGAACTGCTCGTGTCAGTGCAATGTATGGGAAGGAATACATCCAGCGGCTATCAAATGCGTTTGTCACGTGGGTCTCATATAGACCTTAACCACGTCGATCCTGACTATATACTTGAACGCCATGCTGCGTACATATATATATACTGATACCTATATGTACACTGATACGTATATATATACTGATACGTACATATACTGATACTGTTATTTCCTACTCAATTCTCTATTTCGCGGACAGCACATGTGCTATTCGCAGTAGGCGATTAAACGGCCCCCTTCATATAACGTACGGTGCATTTTAGAAAAGACGTATGGGCAAGATATCGAATCAGCGTTTGGTTTATGACCTGACCCCAGCTCGCACTTTAATCGGTCAGAGATCAGGAGTGAGCGCCTTGGCCCTGATGACAAAGGCTCGGGAGCCCAATACCAGAGATAATTCAATAGTAGCACTACTGACTGACCGATAGAGACTGACAAAGAGTTGTGCCGGCACTGTGGTCACCTAGTAGAGTATACGAAGATAATAGATGGAAACACACGGATTGTACATAACTCTATTCCTGGAATATCAAATATAGTACCTTTATGATCACTATATTTTTTTATTGCATCTACATCAAGGCGATGCGTTGATTACGCATACCTCCCTCTTTCGCGAACTATGAGCCAATAAGAAGGTCCTGTCTGTCCTTGTGTGGCGTGTGATGCTTCGGTACGACGAGTGCCCCGTACACATCCAAATGCTGGGTAAACGTAGCTAGCGGGCAAGTCCCTACGCTGTCTCAGTACCCTCTATGCAAATAAGCTTGCCACCGAAACAACAGAAGAGAAGGATCGGAGCGATCAAGCTGAGTTGAGACTCTGACCCCCCTTTCACTCATCGATCAAATCCCATAATAAATCCTAAATTATTCCTTGCGCTTCTGAAGACTTTTGCAGAAGTGCAGCTTGTTAGAGGCCTGGTTCGACAGCTCATTGATCTGTGTGCGGAAATCATAACAATACGGTTAGATACGGCCAAGTGTGAGATGGACACAACACAGCCCGATGTTTGATTGCGAAACATTGTGCCACCACTGTAACTATGCAGTGTTGATAACACATGGAAATTACAACGACATGACACAATGCATTAGAACTGTAAGGCAGTATGCGTGTATCTATTACAAGGGAATCAAAAGCCTGGTTTGAATATATATATTTATATCTATTGTGTGTTTGAAGTGCACCTGACATGAGGGTATGGACTTAAAATACGATTCATTCACGAACGCAGAGTTGCTACTTGGTAGTATGTGCATAGGGTTATAGTGCATACCTGTCCACAGTAGGTATTCATTTGGTTGGTGAGCACCATGGACTCAAACAGTGGGGGCACGGGCACGGGTTTGATCGCATCCTGGATATCATCCACGGGAAGCACCTCTCTGCCCTGTTGCTTGCGAATCTCGTTCTCAGCCCTCTATAACATGTAATACCGAAACATACTTCAGGGTTTAGGGTTTCGAGTTGATCAAATGGGACAGGCAACATAATATGTGCGTACGTGGCGTAACCCCCGGCAGATCAAGAGATACGAGCGCATGCGAAACAAAAGACTGTGTACTGTGATTGGCGTCGAGTACAGGCGGCGCTTGGTCACATTTGGGGCGGAAGCACGGGTGGTTTTCTCGTTTATAACAGCGTCCTTTTTGCAATCATTTAAATTCATTCAGGGTCAATTTCATCGTGAACATCACTTCACTTGAAAGTACGGCTACCGACACAGAAGCGCGAATATCAGGCATGAGAGACACGCACACGAAGGTACACAGGCCAGAGGTTTGCTCATTCGGGAATACGATCGGCTTAGAAGGCAGAACAGCGCGAACTGCTGCCCACTGATACGGAACGAGGAATTCAAATATCTTCATTGCAAACTCTGGTCATATCAACAGGAGGTCAGAGCTGTGGCCAAGTCTCTGCATAGACGTCTGGTACATACCATGAGATATACCATGCAGACGACAATACATAGTAGCAGATGGGGCGGGTATGTACGAGGTCGCACTAAGCATTGCGCGTCTATCTCACAACGGGTGCAAGGTTTTCACACATGTAAACACCGAGCACCTGTACTACGCTTTACACGACGCGTCTCGTATAACACACATACCCTCTTCTGAAGCATGCTCTGGAATTGTAGATCTTTTCGCAGCGCGAACATATATTTGCCTTGCTCAGTGGACAGGCCATCAGCACAATCCAGCATACACTCCAACTCCTTCTCCAGATAGGGGTCTATGGTGAGGTCCAGTCGGTCGTACATATCCGGAAGATACTGTGTATCGTCCAGCTCGTATAGAAGTGCTTGGGATAGCGCAGAGTTATGTACCTTGATAGGGATCTCCTCGAAGATCTGGGTCAGTAAAGGAAAGAAGATCGAGAACGTGTCAAGAAATACGTTGGCGATAGTACAACTTCCATCCCGACTCAAACTTTGATTAGCGCGATTGGGGGAATCGACATAGAAACGAGCATTAAGATCTTCCTTAAAAATACTCTGTGGAAGGACGAGGGCTTGGTAGACTATCGGTTGCTTACTCACCTGCTCGTATTTGAGACCGTGCTTCTTGATAGCAGCGGTGTTAAACTCTCTGGACTTGTACAGCTTGAAGAATGAGGCGCTCATGCGGAAAGCCTTGAGCGATAGCACTCCCTGGCCCGAACGGTGGGGGTCTGCACCAGGGCAAATGTACAGACATGAGATATGTGATATATATATATATAGATATATATATATATATATATATTGATCATCGTATATGCAAGCTGAATGTCGGATAATATTGACAATAACCAATAAGATAGTACGGAAAGACTATTGAGGATGGAAATACATACCATCCAACAAATGGCCGTGCAGCCGATTAATATACAAGTCAAGCAGCAAACACTGCACTTTGACAGTTTAATTATTCTACATGCGTGCCAAAACAACATATGTTATCATAACCTCGTAGACCCAATACGTACACATAAGTGGGGCGAGCAAAGGTACAATTGCATGCGGCATTTATACTCACCGTATACGATCATGATGGACTTGTGAATATTCTCTTGGTATGCAAACTGGGTCTCGATCATAGATGGTGAGATGAACGATCCCATAAAGGTGGACTGGTACCATCCTACGGTGTTGTTGTCGACATTTACATCCCGCAAATTGCGCATCATTTCAATCTGCATCGGTGAGTTATAGAGAAATCAGGAGGCACGAGGGTTTGAATCTGTACAAGTGCTATCCCAGGATAAAGAAGGTGCATTCTTGAGCAGCGTTCTTCGCTGAGCACGTGCTCGAGCTTTTTTAATCACTACAGATTGGCTCCAAATCTAAACACGTGAGCAACCTGAGTGGGTCTGCCAGTAAACGGTACAGGACTTTATGATACTTCCGCACACTAAACATGCATGGAAACAATCCCAGAAATCATACAGTCCCAAACCATATAACAAAGTGACATACCTGGTATTCGGCACCTTCCTGATCCTCTTCATCGGCGGACTTCTGGTCACGCGAGTTATTGCGGCCGGGGAAAGGGAAGCAGTTGGTGACCTCCATTTTATCTTCGATATCCAAACCAAGCAACTGTCCAGTCACTAGTTCGGGAAAAGACTCTCTGCAGTGTTTCAAGATCTTCAAGACCGCCTGTAAATGATTGTCAGGGCAATATATACATTTAATATTGGCGTTATGTAGGTACGCGTGTGGAGCAAAACAGCGTGCGCCAGGTAGCCTGGCATTACACACTCTGTATGACGGCTACACGCGCGTGTGTTGTAGCAGCTTCAGTACGACAGTCGATACGTCCACAATATTCTTCGCAACATGCTTCCCGTGAGCAATCGTCTTCAAACAGACAACAGCTAGTTATGCAAAAAATGGCACGATCGGTTTACGCTATGCAACCAGCAGCACACGCATTAAAATTGCTGGAAAAAAAATACCGATACCCGGTTTACAGAATCGCAAAACCCAAAGATGTCAACGATACCCGTCTATGTGCCAAGTGGTATCACAACTGGGCAAAAAATGTACACATGTGCATACAAGCGTAACCCTAACTGAACTAGATCTCGTAAGATTTGAAATGAAAACTGGCCACGATAGCAAAATGAAGTGATCCACAGACGTATCACTCGGCCTCCAACAAAGAGTATTCGTCAATATCAATATATATATATACATATATATATATATATACAGGTATGTCTGTATATATATATATACATATACATATACATATATATATATATATATATATACATATATATATATATATATATATATATATGTGTGTGTGTGTGTGTGTGT